GGCAACGCGCGCATGTCGCTGCGATAAATGCTGGATGCTTACTCCTGCGAGTTATTATTAGAACGACAGCAACAACGGCAATGTGAATGGTAGAAGGGGGATGATGGGTGTAGGCGTGGAAACAGTCAATGCAAATAAACCTCCTTGATGCAGTACCTAAGGCTGCACAGTTGAATTACATGCACACCTATTTATTGGCATCGCTTACCCTCCATCCGTCGAATTAATCCTTCTGCTGTAATGATTGTTGCAAGTGGAGAGGTGACAGCCGGACCTACAGTACCAGCATCAATGCCGAAAAGGATAATGGTTGGTAGATGATGGATGTAGGTGTAGATGGAGAAGCGAAAAGTGAGGTGAATGAGGCAGAGGAGTTGACAGAGGGAGAAATGAGATTGAGAATGGGAAAGTGGTTAAACAGAGGAATACACTGTTGATCAGGGCATTCTAGATTGCAGCTTGCATTTTGCCTTATGTAATTAAGCCTTTTGAGGCATGTGTATTCTCCACTATCACTTGCGGATATACAGTTGTGCGTGTCCCTTTGTCTGCGTCGAATGACTGCTTGTGAGGACTCGGACTGCGTTCACTACTCAGTCAAAGGAGGGCGCTTCGTGCCAAAGCCGTCCTTTTATATATAATGGAATGAAAGCGTACACAGGAAAGCCAAATATCTCTCTTTCGATATAGGTATGCATTGTAAATGACCTTCACGTGTCGTAAATTAATAGCATTCTCTGCAATGTTTAGCATACTCTAATAAATTTAAGGTCTAAAAATAACATCATTGCAATTCAGAATTCCAATGGAGGATCTGACCATCCCAGACTGGGTGGATTAACTTGGGTTTTGCTGCAGTTGACAACTTGGACAACAAACGGTCTCATCAGGCGACCCATGTTTTTGTTAGTTACTGTATCATTTTACTTTTTCTTGCTGCCCAACAAGTCTTCTTCAAATAATTTTAAACATATATGACAAGATTCTGCAAGTCTGGAAAAGTGATGATACGCTTAAAATAAATCTATTAGCAACGGCCTTTAAAATGACTTCGCCGTAAGCGAATGACGTTTCAATTAAATAAGTTGACAGCAGTTTTTGAAATCATTTTTACATGTCTAGCTGAAAAATAGGTATTTATAGGTATGGTTTGATCCCACGTCATAAAATATCTGTAACGCCTCAGCGTCATTCCCCTTTTTACTAGTGATCATTTCTTTTTCGTGACTTTTTTCTGAATTCCAGAGGCAAGAACAATTGAAGATCTTAAGTTGTTTTAAATACGTTTTACCTTTAGGTGTTGTTGCACGTAAGCTCAAGCACTACTGAAGTCTTGCTATCCAATCATACAACTAACCATTTGCATCATTCAGCGCAAAACGTAGGACGAAACCTCTCCTTCTGATTGGCCTACGACGTAACGCGGGGAAACCATACGCCTAAGTGAACCAATAAAAAGGCATGGTACATCGAATTAACATGGTAAACGATGCCGAGGCGAATAACCAGCCTTCATGTTATCAAGTGAGCATCAAAAGCACTTGAAAGGCTAGGACTTGGGCATGAGACATGGGACACTTCCGGTGCATTGCGATTATCTTTACATTAAAAATTACCATGCTCGGGAGATCCTATTTTTCAAAAAATATTTAAAAAGAAGGCAAAATATAAGTGTAGGAATAGAAAGCATCTAACTTAACCCTTAACTATAATCGTAAGTGGCACCTGCTGTTGGATAGTGGCAATATTTGTGAGGCAAGAGTCACCTGTATAAAGCCGCTTCCAATTCATGTATCTAGCTATTTCTCATCAAATTAGAAAGCTACCTTCTGTGTTGCTGCATGTAAGATTGGACCCTGTTAGCAAACCTAGGTCTATGCAGCTTTAATGGAAAAAGGCTTAATATATATGGCCTTCATTGGAAATAGTCTTGCATATTTCATATAGTGTTGTCGAAATGTAAAGGCAATGAGATTAGGGTGTCGGTGAAACGACTAATTTGACTGACAGTAAACACGATTTGCTATGGGGCGGGGAATGTCGAAAGCCATACAAAGGTACTGCATTTGCAACAAGAAATATAAGAACAGCTTTCTTCCTTTTTCCTCAATGTATACCTTTCCTCTGCCCATCATTTTCATGTCTGCACCATCATGAACTTGGCAAGAAATTAGAAAAACAAGTTAATCAGAAGGTTCTAACAACAAGATCAAATCGTACAGTCAGTGCATTTTACAACAGTTTTACTTTTGAAAAGCTGAAATGTATTCCGTTGGAGAGAGCCCACTATACCGCAGCGGTGATTAGAAAACAAGAGGAAATAATAAAACAATTCCCCTGTTTCAACAACAGATTGCATCTAGCAAAACTATGATTCATTGCACTCTAAACTTACACACTTAGGAGGAATAAAACACGTGCAAACAATTGGAAGCATGGTTAGCCATTACGATGACGATATCCAGTGTCATAGTTCAATGGCTTAGTGAGATAAATGGCAAAAAGTATAATTTACTTATAAAAGGACAAAACAACAAAAAGGTAAGCTTAAGATGAATGCAAAATAGAACTACGTGTTGACAAACGAACAACGTCAAAATTGGGGAAATACCTTTCATAGAGATGTTGCCCATCTCCATGGGATATGTCCC